CATCTCTTTCAGTGTTTCTTTCAGTGTTACAAACTGTAAACTTTATAGCTTTATGAGTTACTCTTACTCTTCTTTTGTAACTTTGTGAGTTACTCTTCTTTTGTAACTTTGTGAGTTACTCTTCTTTTGTAACTTTGTGAGTTACTCTTCTTTTGTAACTTTGTGAGTTACTCTTCTTTTGTAACTGTATGAGTTACTTTTATCGTAATCTCAATTTTTCATTATAAGCCCAAATCCAAACGTTTCCCATTCATATTGTTTTCTTGGTCACATAAATCTTTTAATAGTCAAGCAATTAGTTGATAACACAATACCAAAGGACAAGACATTTGCAATTTTTGATATTATCTTTCCTCGGAAATCATCTTTTCTAGATCTCTCTCCAATCTCACTTTTCCTACTCATTCCTATACATATTATTTCTTATCTTAACAAAATGAACAATTATAATAATATATCATGTAAATGATTCTATCAGTGATAATGCAAATGATATTCGGATGATATCTTACAATATATTATAACTAAATGATTCTATCAGTGATAATGCAAATGATATTCAGATGATATCTTACAAATTACATGCCACAATTAATTACCCTTAAATTTTTAATTTTTTTTCTCAGAAAAAAGTAAAGTTTCAAAATGAGATGAGACTTTTTTTTAACATACACTTATACATTGTTTGAAATTGGGTGCAGGAAACAAATAAAACAAATGATATTGTTGAAGAAGAAAAACAAATAAAGGTAATAATTATTCGAGTAGTTTCAAATTTAAATTTAAAAAAACTAAAATGGCAAAAAAATTAGAAGAAAAAAATTTTAAAAGAAGAAGTAATCTAAAAAATCTATGAATCGATCAAATCTATGAACAATCAAACATGATTGAATATTTTGGTATCAAATTGAACCGTGATGTTTCGAAGTTGAAATTATTTATCATTGAATTTAGTGATAAAGGTGCTAGGCGATATCATATGGTATCAGTGTGTGTTTATGATTTTTATTTATGAAATGAATTAATTTTGCATCCTTTTTTTTAAATTATATCAACTCACTGGCATTATTTCTTGAAATTCTAAAAATATTTATTTGATTGCAAATTTCCATTTGAATCTTATCAGTTACACATATGCATTTGTTTTATTCCAATTTGAGAAAATTCAAATGACAGATAATTGCGGTGAAGTTATCAATTCGTAGTTATCTATTTCATTAGCTATGTTGTTGTATGCTTCTTTAATAATTTTTAGAAGACTATAATTAATTTTATCACTGATAGATTAATTATTAATTGTTAAGATTATATCTTTAGTTACATAAAAAATTCCATGAGAATGAAATTCAATAAATGAATTAACAAAAAGATTTCACGTCTATTTTACACGCAAAAAAAAAGCGTTAAAATTTTTTTTATAAGTCTCGCATTTATGAATTACGCATTATATATAATTTCTATATCAATCTTATATATATATTATGTATATCAATTATCAAATAAATATGAATAAATCTTCATTTCATTTCTTTTCAATTAAATAAATCCGAAAATTCAACTTAATTCAAATTCAAAAAAAAAGTCAAATTCAAAATTCAAATGAGAAGACAACTTTTCAAAATTGAATTCTTAAATGCAATTTAAGCTAAATTGCCATTGATTCCATTAAAGCATTTTATGATGACTTCTAATCTTGAAAAACTTTTTTTCCGATGATTTTATTTTCAATCTTCAAAAAATGTTTTTATAATGATTTTGCATTAATTCCTAAAAAAAACATTTTATGATGAATTTATGAAAAACACTTCATGATAATTA